GACCAGGCTGGCCTCAAACTCATGGAGATCCACCTGCCTCTGCCTCCCCAGTGCTGGGACTAAAGGTGTGAGCTACCACTCACACATTAAAAGTAAGCCCGGCTTACTTTTATTTTTAATTTTTTTTTTACTTTAGTGTGTGTGTGTGTGTGTGTGTGTGTGTGAGAGAGAGAGAGAGAGAGAGAGAGAGAGAGAGAGAGAGAGAGAGAACGTGATGCTTTTGTGGGTTCCAAGGATCCAACTCAGAACAAGCACTTCTACTTTCTGAGCCACCTCATCAGTGCCACACGTGACAACTTTAGAATAGTGGTTGCCAGTATTGGATGGTATGTTTGTTCTTACCTTAACCACTATAGTATGTTGCTTAAAAATGTAAAAAAAAAAAAAAAAAAAAAAAAAGGCAGGGCTGAGGATGTAGCTTGGACCATAGCTCAGCCTTCAGGAAGCTCCAGTCTCAAATCTCTTCAGTGGCCTAAAGCACTCTAAGTAGCTTAGAATAACTTTGAACTTCTGATACTCCTGCCAGCCCTCCTCCTCTTCTCCAGTGCTGAGACTCCAGGCATGAGCCACTGTGCCAGTGTCTGAGGTGCTGAGACTCAAATCCAGGGCTCCTGTGTGTTGTAGGTTGACATACTTCAGTTAACAAGAACAGTTAGCCAGTTGTAGAACTACAGATGCTAAAAAATGAGGTTAGTACGTTTAGAGACGTTCCCAGAACTATGGACTTTGATGGATTAGGTCTTCATTTTCATTTTGACTGGTGATATTATCTCTGTGCTGAGTTTTGTAATCTGAATGGTACTTCTGTCATGGAGTCTATTGTGCTAAGGTCTGGAGGTGTGTTACAGGATGACTCTAGTTTGTGTCACGTTGACAAAAACTAATCAGCACAGAGGCGATTGCTTCTGCCTAGTCTCTTTTCTTTCTAGACTGCCCCGTAAGTGATCTTTAACACAAATCTGATCATTATCCCCTAGAAACCCCAATTCTGCAAAACTCACTGAATAAACTTTCTCTCCTGCTCTGGATACTTCCCTCCCAATCTTCTTTCAGGATAAAATGTCTCCTGCTCCAAAGTCAAGTCTTCTCCATTCGGTAAGGTCTTTCTGTTTCAAAAAGGCCTCCGTTATCACTCTAGCTGAAATCAGCTGGACTGTGAGTGTCACATCTGTTACCTGGCACCAAACAGACAGACCTTAGCTCAACTCTATGCTCAGCCACAGGCTAGTCATGTGACCTCTGGCAAGGTACAGTACCCAGCCTCTCTGTGCTTTAGTTTTTTTCCATCTTAAAAAAAATACTGGCAACAATATAGCTACTGTATGCACAGGTGGCTGTGAAAATGAAAAGATAAGACATGCAAATTGATTGGCCCACAGTACCCAGTAATAGCAGCTATTATTAAAAATTAATAGTTGGGTAACTACATAAATGTGAGACTTCTCTTGAGATTTTTCTTATGGTTCCTAACATGCTTTAAAGCCTAGAATATTTTATAGTAGGACTGGAGATGTTGTTCAATTGATAGAATGTTTATATAACTTGTCTGAAACCCTGGGTTCAATCCCCAGCAGTGCATAAAAACAGACGTGGCAGTATAAGGCTATAGTCCCAGGATTCCAGGATTCTAGAGGTAAAGACAGGAGGATCAGGAGTTCAAGGTCAGCCTCAGATTATAATCAGTTAAAGGCCAGCCTGGGATACTTGAGACCCTATCTCAAAAAAGAAAAAGTCAAAAATAAACCAATAGAGGCTGGAGAGATGGGTCAGAAGTTAAGACCACTGTCTGCTCTTCGAGAGGTCCTAAGTTCAATTCCCAGTAACCACATGGTGGCTCACAACCATCTATACTGAGATCTGGTGTCCTCTTCTGGCATGCAGGCAGACATGCAGATAGAGCACTCATATATATAAAATAGATAAATAAATCTCTAAAAAAAAATAAGCAAGTCTTAAATTGTAATACTTATATGTAATCTTAGTTACTTTCCATACTGGGGTTAAGGGAGTCCGTGCCTGGTCAGAATGAGAACAAGGATTCATCTTCGCCAGTGAGAGAAAATGATAAAATAAAATGAAATTTGCCTATCTAGAAGCTTCTCCCAGAAGAAATGTGCTTGCTCCCACAGGCCCTGTGCTTTCTGGGGTATTAGCTCGTTACCCCCAGTCTTTTGTTTGTGTTGCTTGCTTGTTTTGCTGTTGTTGTTTTTGAGATAAGGTCTCATATAGCCCAGGCTGGCTTTGAATTTGCTACATGGCCCAAAATAGTCTTGAATTTCCTCCTCTCCTTCCCAAATGCTAGAATCATAGGCTTGAATTACTTCACCTGGTTTCCGGTCTTTCTCGTCCCTGACCATGTATGTGTGTGTATGTGTGAGTGTAGATGTGTGTGTATGTGTATGCACATTGGTGGAAAGACCAGAGGTTGGCATCAGGAGTCTTCTGCTTATTTCTCTCCACCTTTTGTTTTTAGATTGATTTATTTTACCTTATATGTGTGAATGTTTTGTCTGCATATATGTATGTGCACTCTGCCCATGCCTGGGGCCTTTGAAGATCAGAAAAGAGCATCAGATCTCTGGAACTGGAGTTACAAACGGTTGTGACTTATTATGTGGGTGTTGAGAGCCAAACCAACTCTAAGTGCTCTTAACCCGTGAATCATCTCTCCTGCCCCTCCACCTTATTTTTTGAGACGAGACAAGGTTTTTGTAACAGTGGGGTTTTCCTCCCGCACCCAGTGCCCAAATAACTACTCAGAGGCGTATTTATTTCTGAGTAAATGCCTAGGCCATACGCTTTAGCTTGGTCTCTGACTAGCTTGTAACTTATATAACCCATTTAAACTATTCCGAGTTCAGCCACATTGCTGGTTTCTTCTCTTCTCGGTTTCATGAGCCCAAAGTCTGGACCAAGCATCTTCTACCTCTAACTATCTGCTAGAGTTCTCATCTCTTTCCCAGAACTCCCACCCTCTACTTCCTGCCTTCTGCTAATAGGCCATCTGCTTTTTACTGACAGGTGATGCTTCCACACAGTACACATGAGATTCTCTCTGTAGACCTCCCACTGAATCCGAAGCTCATTCATTAGGCTAGGCTTTCTGAGCAGTGAGCTCCAAGAATTTGCCAATCTCTGCCTCTTCAGGGCTGGGATTACAGCCAGTTGCTGACATTATCTGAGTGCTGGGGGATCTGAACTCAGGCCCTCATTCTTGAGTGCTAGACGCCATTGCCTGAGCTTTGTCCCGTCCCTTGCTTCACAGTGGTACTTGTAATCTTGTAACTATATAGTGATCAGCTCTTACTTCAACTTCCTGTCTTAAAAGTGACCCAATAACACCCCCCCAACCCCCGCTTCCTTCAAGGCCACTAAGAGAACCCAACCAGATCAAGCCACCTCCCATGAAAGTCCAGGATGAGCAAGAAGAATGAAAGTTAGCTTCTCTCTTTTTTTTCTTTGACTTTATTTAGTATTTTGTGTGTGCGAACATACATGTATATGCAGATATGTGTGCCCCAGCACACATGTGGAGGTCAGAGAACAATCTGTGGGAGTTGATTCTCTTCTTCCATTTTTGAGGGTCTTGGTAATCAAACGCAGGTCCTTAGAGTTTGGTGCCATGTGTCATTACTAGCTGAGCCATCTAGCCAGCTTGTTAACTTCCATGAGGTAAAGTGCCGGAAGAGGCAGCAGATTTACCACCAGGGTGTAGAAAGTGGTTGCTATGTACCCGTGAGGCAAGAATGGTTTCCTAATCACATTTCCACTTATGGTTGAGAAAGGCTCCTTTGGGACAGGATGAAACTTTGACACACCTAAAAGCTGGAGACATCATTGCCTTGTTCAAAACAGACTCATCTCTCTGGATAAAAACTGTCTTTCTACTGACTTAAAAGTTAGGGAAGTTGTATGTGTTCCTATATGCATATGCATTTCATTTTGTTTGCAGTCCTGGGGATTGAGCCCAGAAACTCCTGAACTCCTGTTTCTGTACTATAGCCAGCCCCAGGTCTCTTCCTTTTCTTTTTTTGTTTGTTTGTTTTGGTTTTTCGAGACAGGGTTTCTCTGTATAGCCCTGGCTATCCTGGAACTCACTCTGTAGACCAGGCTGGCCTCAAACTCAGAGATCCGCCTGCCTCTGCCTCCCAAGTGCTGGGATTAAAGGCGTGCGCCACCACCGCCCGGCAATAATTTATTTTTATTTTGTATGTATTGGTGTTTTGCTTACATGGATGTATGTGTGAAGATGTTAGATCCCCTGGAACTGGAGTTACAGTTTCAAAGCTGGCCTATGGGTGTTGGGAACTGAACCCAGGTCCTCTGGGAGAACAGCCAGTGTTCTTAACCACTGAGCCATCTCTCCAGTCTCTCTTCCTTTTCATTTTGGGTCTCATTAAGTTGCCCAAGCTGGCCTTGAATCCACTATTGTAGCCTTGACAAGCTTTAAATGTGATCTTCCCAAATAGCCAAAGTTACAATGTTGTTCAATGAGGGTGTTTCGGGTGGAGTCAGACTACAAACTTGTTGAAATTTACTTAACCAATCTTATTATTGGATACTTGGGCAATTTATCTTCCGGTTTTAATAAGATAATCAACATCTTTGTCAGAAAATCATTACATATATTCCTTGGTTGTGCCTTTGAATTCTATAAGTGGAATTACTGGTCCAAAGGGTACGTTATTGCCAATTTGTTGCCTAAGAGTGATTTTACCCAGTTACACTCCCACAGGCAATTTCACGGTGCTCAAACAGAGATTCTGGTGTCATTAACTGTCAAACGCCAAACTAGAACTTGCCACCCGCTCCAGGCTTCCTTCTCGTTTTCCCGCCCACTCCATACACTAGCCGAGAGCCTCACGCGCTCTCTTGCCCCAGCTCTTCCCAGGCTGGCCCGCCTCTTCCTCGTTTCCCATTCTGTCCAATCAAAAACAGAATTTTCTCAGTCTCGTCGTACGATTGGTACATAAAAGTGTCCGTCAGGTTTGTGGGCGGGTAGAGAGGGTTGATGGACGTGGCCAGCGACCAGTGCGAGCCCGGAGTAGGCTGAGCGCTGGCCTGGAAGCGCTAGACCTGTGAGGTGTGCGGGTGGCTGCTGGAGTGAGGCTTCGGTAGACATGGCTCCCAACGTGTTGGCTTCCGAGCCGGAGTATCCGAAGGGCATCCGGGCCGTGTTGCTGGGGCCGCCCGGGGCTGGCAAGGGGACCCAGGTGAGTGTCCGTTCCGTGCCCGGCGGTGGAGCCCACGGAGCTACAAGGTCAGGGCGGTCGGAGAGCCGGAAGCTCCTTTCCCGCCCCGGAGCAGGGTGGTGAGCCCTGGCCTGCAGGGACCCTCGCGGGGCCTCTAGTTGTGGCGCGGTGTTTAGGGGAGTGTCGCAGTAAGGGGAAGGCTGGGTTGGGGTTCTTGGGGGAACCCAGGTTCGTGTTAGGGCGTCCAGGGGCTGTTATTTGAAAATTGTGAAAGGCAGGGGGATCCCCCTGGCCGAAGCTCCAGATCACAGGCCCTAGTGGGAGAAAGCTTTGGACCAAGACGCCCTCGGAAATGAGAGCGGATTGTCCTGAGTCAGGAATAACTTCCAGGCACAAGGGGTTAAAACTTTTTATTTTTAATGATTAATGACTAGGGATACTAAGAAATCTCCATGTGGGGCAGAATGGGAGCTGGCGTATGCTGATAGAGGCGTTCTGCCAAGAGGGAGGCATGACCTGTGTGAGCCACCAGTGTTGGGGGGATGGGAGGAAGCATCTCCAGCTCACCAGAAAGCTGGAGATGAGGTTCATGAACCGGAGGAATCATGGGGGTTGTGAGTGAGACAGAGAGTGCTCGTGGAGCAGCATGGGATGGCTCTGATGGTTGTAATTGAGCGATTTTGGGCCACTCACATGCTGGGTCAACAGGTAAGAAAACAGACCTAGAGGTCCAGTGACTTTTCAAAGTTAGTGAAATCGATTTCACAGAGGCTTGTGCCTCCAAAGGCTTGGAGTTGCCTTCTGCCCCACTGCATCCAGGCCATAGATCAGGATTGGGATTTATGCTCGCACTTAGAATTTGGAAGCTCGCCAGGACTACACAGAGAAACCCTGTCTCGAAAAACCAAAAAAAAAAAAAAAAAAAAAAAAAGAATTTGGAAGCTCATATGGTGGGTTATTGGTGTCACTTTCTTGCTCAGTCTTTGGCATCACCTACCCACCCCTCACCTTTCCCTCCCTCCCCATCAGACCCTAGGCTTTGGGACCTTGCTGATCAGTATGCTCTAAAGAGGGAATTCTTTCAAGATTGGGTTCCCAAGCAAGCAAATGGGCACTGTCCTCCCTTTTCCTGCACTGCAAGTTTATTGTTATGTTTTTAAAGACTCCTCCTCTCTGTCTCCCTCCCTCTCTTCCTCCTTCCTCCTTTTTTCCTCTCTCTCTCTCTCTCTCTCTCTCTCTCTCTCTCTCTCTCTCTCTCGCTGACACACATAGGGTGAGAGAGAATGCGTGTGCAGGGACATGCGTGCATACGTGGAGGTCAGAGTGCAACTTGCTGGAATCATTTTCTTTTTCTACCATGTGGAGCCCAGGGATCCAACCTGTGGACCTCTGTCACCTGTCCTGTTGGCCCATCCGACTCAATGGCAGGCTACTCTACCTGTGGACCTATGTCACTTGCCCTGGTTGCCAGGTTCTCAAAGTTTTGGCAAGCAGATCGTGGTCTCACTCATTGTCAGGACTCCTGCCTGGCACTTGGTGGAGTTACATGAGTGATTCCAATTTTCCGATTGATGCAGGGTGGCTGTAGAAAGGGGGTCTAGAAGGCGTTAGTTCCTGTCCTCTGACTTTACTTCAGGCCCCTGGGCTGGAGGTCACAGAGGACCACCTTTCTGTAAACTCAGGGGTTCTTTTGTCAGGCTTCACCAGCACCTTGTACTCAGTGGTTTTGACATCTCATGTTCCAGTTGCCGTCCCCCCCCCCCCCCAGTTATCAGGTAATCTATAATGTAGATTGATCTTGAATGTGGACAACTTCTACTTTGTGTTAACTTAGTATAGACAGGGTCGTCCATGGTGACAGTGACACTTTTTTTTTTTTAAGTTTATAGTGAAGTTGACTGTTTCAGAAGTGAAACGGACAACTTAACTCATCCAGTGGTGCATCGGGGGCCTTATAGTCTGTGTCTGTGTATGTCTATGTATGTAGAAAGCTGTGTAACTCCTCAGCGTTTCTACCTGGGGAATGTAAAGCTTACAAAGACATTGGAAGATTATGGCCTTCATACCGGGAGCACCCACACATTCCTAGTTGGTAGTATGTCACATGACAGCTAACCGTGAGCACTGACCACTCAATAGCATCTCGGGGGGCGGGGGGGGGCATTATGCTGTGAGCTCATTAAAGATGGTTCAGGAATGGTGAACGTTGATCCAAGAAGGCTTTGTGGAGTGATTAGAAGTTTGGCTTGAAGGATGAATATGGCAGCTCATGTCTGTTTGTAGCCCCAGAGACTGAGGCAGGAGGAGACTGAGAAGGCTAAGGCCAAGTTTGATGGCAGCCCAGCTAAAGTTTGAGGCTGGCCTGGTTACAAAGTGAGACCCTGTGTCCGAGAACACCACCACAATACTAAGAGCTGGGACTTCAGCAAATACACAGTACTCACTTAACCTCTGTCTGCCTCCCTTTCCACATCAGGAGCCATAAAAATACTGGTGGTTGTAGCTTCATAGTGTTGAACAAAAGTTCACACAAAGCCTGCAGAGTGGCAGCCAGAGGAGCGTTCTGCCTACAGACACACCCCATACGCAAACTTTTCATTTTAAGTTTTAAATACACATAAGGGAGCAGGCGCAAGCTTAGCTACTATGGAGATTGAAACAGGAGGCTCACAGGTTCAAGTCCTATCTGGGCTAAGACTAAAATCAGCCTGAGCCCCAAAATAGCAGGGCTGGGAAGCCGTTCACTGGCCATTCATTTACCTAGCTGTGTGAGATCTTGCGTCCAGTCCTCAGAAGTCCACAAGAAGCAAGAGAATGGTGTAATAGGTCCCAGTAACCATTGGCTGATGATGGCCATTACTTTCCCATCCACCCTCCCGACAGATTATACTAAAGGAGCTCTAGGCACCATAGCAGTTTTATAATATATTTTAGTATCTCTAAAACAAACTCTTTTTAAAAAATACATAAGTTCAGTAGCCCCTAAAACTGATTTTAATAGTTAATGTTCAGATTTCTATCAGTCTCACACATAAATTTAAGTCATTCTGGTTTTTTTTTTCCTAATCTTTAAAAAAGAGTAGTCAGCATGTGTGCAAGGGTGTGTGCATTCATGAGTGCACACGTGGAAGCCAGAGAATAACTTTCAGTCATTTCTCCCTTCCACCATGTGGGTCCCTTGTGTTGAACTCAAGACCCCAGGCTTGGTGTAGGTACTTTTACCTGCTGGGCCATCTCCCCCTCCCTCTTCCCTTTATGCTGTATTGTGGAAGAAACCACCTTGTCCTGAGAATCTTGTCGCTTTTCTGAGAATTTTCCATTATATTCCTTTGGTGTGTTTAGCATCATCCTGTCTTCCATTTCCTGCAGATACTGTTTGCTGCGTCTAGTTTATCCTTCTCTGTTTCTCGGCCTGGCTACCCAGGGGCTGCCATGCCCTGGCCTCTGGTAGGACACTTGTAATACTGTTTGTCTGTGAGGGGTTAGGAACTGTTGTATCTGTTGCATAAGCATAGCAGTTAGTTACGGGTGGCAAAACAGTACTGACCCGGTGTAGTTTTCCTTTTTCACTCCTTAGCTGAAATTCTCTCTTTTCTTCTCTTCTCCCTGTCCCTTCCCTCTTGCTTTTTTGAGACCAGGTCTCAGCGGGTAGCCCAGGCTGGCCTGGAACTCACATTGCTCCTTCCTCGTTTTTCTCAATGTGGGATTCCTAGCGTGCATCGCAGCTAGTGTTTGGCTTGTATGTCTGTAGAGAGAGACTTTGCACCCCCTAGGTGCTCCTTGCCATGTGGTTTATAAAGTCCGTTTAAACGTTTGTTCTGTCCCCCTCTTTGTCAGCTGTCCACATAATGGGTAGAATGTTTTCAGTTGAGAAATTTAAACAAGAAATCACAACTTGTTTTTCTTGGGAAGATGAGAAAATCTGAGAGCAGTGGTCCTCCATTCCCGAATGGCAGGAGTCGCTTGTAGCTGAGCGGTATTTCTGCTTCGGCTGATCCCGTCGTAGATTTCCCGTCTCTGTATTCACTGCCCAGTCCACATTAGCAGCTGTTTGCTCCTGACCTGTCCAGTGATATTTATGTTTCGTTCCTGCTACTTCCTCTTGTACCAGTATGATTCCATATTACATGATTTATGTCAACATGGCTAAAGTTATATTTTCATTAAAATTTTCTGGACTAGGAGATGGCTCAGTGGACACTTTTTTTTTTTTTAGACAGGGTTTCTCACTGGCCTGGTGTTCATCACATAGGTTAGACTAGCTTGCCAGTGAGTCCCAGGGATCTGTCTGTCTGACTCCCCAGTGCTGGGATCATAAGCACACACCACCACATTCATCTTGTTGTACATGGGTTGTGGAGTTAGAGCCCGGATTATTGTACTTAGAAAGCTAGTGGTTTTCCAGCTGTGCTGTCTCCCCAGCCCCATATTACACCGCAATTAAGTGCCTGCCACAGGATTCCAGACCATCTGTAATCTTCAGTCTGGGCGGGGGTGTGTGTGTGTGTGTGTGTGTGTGTGTGTGTGTGTGTGCTCCCACGTGACCAGCAGTAAACTAAGGCAGAGTCCCGCACCTGTGTGTTGTTCTTGCAGCTCTAGAGTCACCCAGAAGTGACTGAGCAACCTACCACCAGGGGTAACCACTGAACACCTGAGTTACCGAAGCAGCTTTTCTCTCTGGTGTTTAACCCTGGCTTCTGTGAGTTACCTGCTCAAGTTAATTTTAATAAACACAGAGTAGATTGGCAGGAAGTTCTGTTCCCTGGGTGTGTGTCCACAGTGCAGCAGGCTTTCCATCATCAGCCATTGCTGACCTTCATTTTCACGGGTGTGGGTGCTGTGTCTAAATCTGTCTCATTGGGTTCCACTTCCCTGTGAGGTGATTTCTTCATGTCAATTGGAATTGGTCTGTGAATCACAAACCAGAATTTCTTGCATGGAGTCCCATCTATTGTTTTGTCTCGTGCACCCAAGAAAACACCCAGTGAACTAGTTTAAACAGGGAATCCCAGCTACTACCTCTATAAACCACTGAATGAAAAGCCGAGCGAGCGCCTGTGAGGACAGAACAGATCGGGAGTATCCGAGTCCTTTTCCCATTTAAACCACACCAGACTCTTGAGTTTGCCCATGTGTTTGTTTGATGTTATTGTGGAAAAATCTAAATATGTGGTGATGGGGGGGCGCATGTGTGCCTCACCACTGAGCTACGTATATTGCAGCACAACCTGTGAGCTTTGGGATCTGTGTCTCTTATTCCTTCGTTTCCCTGATTCGGGGTTCTGAAAGAGACATGAACAAATATTTCCTTTCCATTTGAATAAGTTGAACTATGGTGGCCATTGCTGTGACAGCTCGTGCTCACTGAGGATTTGCATGCTGCACTTTGCATGTACCAGTCTGACACAAAATCCTTATGGGATAGGTGATATGTGATTATTTCCCTCTCTATTTTACTTAAAACCCAGAAAGAAGAAGTAACTCCTCAAATCACCCAGCTAGGAATGAGGCACTTATTACCTGACTTGAGCCCACACTCTTAGCCAAATGGCCATATTGAGCCAACTAGGGCAGACAGTTGTCTGTAGTTGAAGAGATTCAGGAGGCAGGGGAAAGAGCTCATGAGGCCAGCTTGAGCTATGTAGTAAAACCCAGTCACAAGACAAACTAGAACCCCTCCTAAAACTGATGTAAGATGGTCACTGTAGAAATGACCAGCCTGCACATCTGTCTGTGCATTGAGCCACTCTCTGAGTTACCATGTCCTTCATGTTAAACAGATGTGGAAACTGCTCTGGGTCTGGGAGAAGGCAAGTGATTTAGCCAAGATACTGCAGCAGTTCTGCCTTGCCTCCCCCAGCTGCCAGGCTTAGTGGCCACAGCATACCACAGTTACAGATCCCCTCTGGGGCAGACTCTCAGCCAGGTCTTGGTCTATCTGTTTTTCTAAGTATTGCAGCAGCTACATGAAGTATTATGTGGCTGCTGAGTTTGTTCTCAGTTAGTACAGGCAATGTGAGCTCGTGTTTCAGTAGTGTGGTTAGTGGGAATAGCTGGTGGTTTCCCGTGTGCTAAGTGTATCCAAGTACTTTACATGCATTATCACGTAATCATATAATTCTCACAAGAGCCCTGCTGTTGCTTTACATTGGGATGAAAGGTAAGATGCTTTTACTTCTGTTAGAAGTAAGAGAGTAAACATTGACTAAGTTCACACAGCCAGTAAATGCCAGGGCCAGGTTCAGACCCACACCCTACAGCCTTAACTCGTTCTTATTGGTTTTTGTCTTTGACTCCACAGGCACCCAAATTGGCTGAAAACTTCTGTGTGTGTCATTTGGCCACTGGGGACATGCTGAGAGCCATGGTGGCTTCGGGCTCAGAGCTGGGGAAAAAGCTGAAGGCGACGATGGATGCTGGAAAGCTGGTAGGTTTGGTCGTACCGGGAGCACTGCTTTCCCTTTCCCCAGCTGCTGGGGCTGCTTGGCTCTTGCTTCAGTAAACATTTGCTTTCTCACTCGTCATAGACACACTTGAAGACTTTACCAGACATTACACAGAATATTTCCCCCATCATAAAAAGTCTTCTCAGATAGTTCTGTGTGCCAGTGTTTCTAACAGACTGGAAGGTGATAGGAACCTTGTGAACTCTGCATACTGTTTGGTTCATTCTGCATTTATGATTTCCTCAGAGCTTACTTATATAGTTTTATTATTTTGTGTGCACAAGCAAGCTCTTTTCACAACCATCTTCCAGCCCTGTTCACAGTATTCTTTTTTTTTAAAATAAAATATAATTACAAGGGCTAGAGAGATGGCTCATTAGTTAAGAGCACTGACTGCTCTATCAGAAGATCTGGGTTTGAGTCCCAGCACCCACGTGGCAGCTTACAAATATCTGTAACTTTAGTCCCAGGAGATCTGACATTCTCTTCTGACCTCAGCAGACACCAGCCATGCACATAGTGCACAGACATGCCTGCATACACGTAAATAATAAATTCTAAAAATTTAAACGTGTGTGCATGCATGCATGTATGAGTGCTTGCCAGCCGGACATGGTGGCATACACCTTTAATCCCATCACTGAGAAACAAGCAGACAGTTCTCTGAATTTGAGTTTAGTCAGTGAGACCTTTTCTCAAAATAATATACTTATGTACATACACACATACACAGTTATATCTTCTCTCCCCATCTCCTTCCCTTCGGCCAGCTCCTCCCATGTTTTCACTGTATTCTTGAAGATAATTTATTCAGACTGGACATAACAAATTGAAACTGCTGTTCCTAGGACAAGACTCAGGCATGTATGCAAAAGAAGACTCAGGAGACCGTAGAAATGTTTTTAAAGCTCTCTTGGGGCTCACTGCTCTGTATTCCTAACAAGGGAGTTTCTTGGCAGGTGTGGAAAAGTAATCCTGTGTAATAACCCAGTAGCCTGCCTGATTTGACAAACACAGTGAACTGACGAATGTTTGCTTGAGGCCAGATCTTGCTTCTAACATTGATTCTGGAACCTGACGTCTGGTAACACCTTCAGAAGTTATTTTGTTGTTGAACCCAGTAGGCAGGTGCTGTAGCACCGAGCCACACTGCAGTCTGTCCAACCCTTTGCTTTGTTCCTGTGTTTAATTTTCTAAATTACACTCTGTCAATGTGTGCATCTGCCCGGCCCAGCATTCATGTGGAGGTGAGGGCAACTTTTGGGATCAGGTCTCTCCTTCCACCATGTACCCCGAGTCCAAGCTCAGGTTTTCGGGCGTTGGTAGCAGGCACTACTCCTCATGCACCATCTCATTGCCCGTTGTTGCTTTTGAAGCAAGATTTGGCATATGTGTTTGGTTGGCCTGGCACTTACGGTGTGTCCCAGGCTGGCCTCTAACTCAGCCTCCTGTGCTGAGATGACTACCACACCTGGTTTCTCTGGTCCCTTTTTTCTGTGTATGTTGCTTGACTGGAATCTGAACTTTGTTTTTATCCCCCAAATTACCTCATGTTAGGCCATGGAGATACCAGAGCAATACTGAGTGTGCCACAACCTGTCTGCCCAAACATCGCTTTCCAGCTTCCCTTTTATGGCAATGAGGCCATGAATCAAGCCAGGATGATAGATAATTTGGACTTTGGGTTTTGGCAGAAAGCTCTGTGTGAGAGGAAATTGGGATGTTGCTTATCTCCGCCCACAGCCTCAGACTGCACTTTGTCTCCAAGTTCACAGCTGCTCCTAAAGATGAAAGCTTTAGCTGCCAAGGTTGGCAGCCTTTACTGTATGCAATACAGGTGGGAGCTCTTCTCTCTTTAAAGGCTCTGGGGGAAAGTTCTTTTTAATGCTATGAGACATTTTTGGTGGGATTTTTGTAGAAGCTTGGACTACATTGTGGTGGCTTTTTATTTCCTTGTTTCTGATCCAATATTGCCAATTCAGTGCAAATTTTTCAATCCCGGTAAATATCAAGTCCGCATGTCCGACATGATGCTGTTAGTCTAATGAACTTTAAATCAGGGAAGGTTAGTACTTCCCTACTTTCTGGTCAAATACTATTTTCCTTCTGGCTCTCGGGTGATGTCTCTGCCGGGTACCCTCATCATCTTGAGGGCAACTTGTTGCTGACAACAGACTATGGATCCCTCTTCCCTTACCAGGTTTATTGAAACCCAGTAGAGTTACAAGGGGAGAGCCATGTCTGTGGCCACTGCAGAACTATGCAAATGAGTAACGCAGATGCAGCCTGTACTGGTCAGCTTTGCGTTGCTGTGATAAATACCTAAGAGAAACCAGCTGAAGAAGAGAATGCTGTTTTTGCTCAGTTGCAGTCCAAGGTTGCTTGGTGCCAGTACTTCTGGGCCTGTATCGAACCGTTGCGGAAGACATGGTAGAGTAAAGCTGTGGACCGTATAGAGGCACAGAGAGCATGAGCAAGAGCGCATACTGCTCAAGCAAGGCGGCTCAGCAGTAAAAATGTGCTCTGTTCGAGCCTGATGACCTGAGCTCAGTGCTGAGGCGTGCAGAGGGGGAAGGCGAGGACTGTGCCTTCCCTGCCCGTCCTGCCTGCATACCTGTAAGTGAGGTTTAAAATACGGTATTGGAGATAAAGCCTTCAACACATGAGCTTCTGGGGGTACATTTAAGATTCAAATGAACATGGAGGCCCCCGACATTTACTCTGCGTTTGCTTCTGTGGTGTCAAGCTGACTTGCTGTTTAGTAACACGTCATTATACACAGTACACTTTTGACTTTGTGTTGGAGGTATATCACCCACTGGACAGATTTGAACCCAAGGCTCTTTTCTTCTAGGTGAGTGATGAGATGGTTGTGGAGCTCATTGAGAAGAATTTGGAGACTCCTTCGTGCAAAAATGGCTTTCTTCTAGATGGCTTCCCTCGGACTGTGAGGCAGGCTGAAATGGTAGGTAGTGTTTGTATGGCTGTTGCGTGAAGCCAAGTGCCAGCCCTTTGTGTTAGTCACTCTGAGGAGATGGGTCTCATCCAGCTTAGGTGAGTCACACACTCTGTTACAGCTTGATGACCTCATGGAGAAGAGGAAAGAGAAGCTGGATTCAGTCATCGAGTTCAGCATCCAAGACTCACTGCTGATCCGGAGAATCACTGGAAGGTAGATGTCCCTGAAGATCCCCTTGTGCTCCCTGGCTTTGTGGGGCAGCAGCTCAGCGCCCCACATGATCATACATACCCCCATTCCTCCCAGATCCACCCTCTAGCCTTATACACAAACACCCCTCCCCTTTTAATAATGACCCACCAGTTTGTGCTGCTAATATATTTATGGGTATGAGGTCATCCATCCACTGGCGTGTACTCAACCTACCAGGGGCCATACCCTTAGAGAAACTGGCTTTCATAGCTCCTCAGTTAGAAGTAGGGAACTCATGAGCCCCGCCTGGCCCATGCTAGAATGTTGACTAGCTGATCTTGTACTGGTCTTGTAATGTGAGTTCATGAGCTCTTGGAGAATAGCAATGTGGTGCCTATTTCTGATCTCAGAAAGTTGTGTGTGAGATGTGGTGGTTCTGGCCGTTTGTTGTAGTAGGAAGAAGAGAGCCTGGGGAGATGGAGAAGGCTGCTGAGGAGAGGTAGGCCATCCACTCCACCTTCTTGAACGAGGATAATTTCAGTGACGATTTTCCAGAAGGGAGTAGAATTGGGAATGAGTTGGTTAGGGGAGGGGCTCAGGGTGCAGCCTGTGATAGACTTGCTGACCCATGGTTGGAGGTGTGCCTTGGAAGCTGGAGGGTCAGAATGAATGACGTTGGGAAGGAAGCCTGGGTTCAGGGGGAGGTCTGCAGCGCTGAGAGGAGTGGGCTTCAGAGAGCTTAGGGGTCATCACACGGTCTGGAGCCACGGGTAGTGGGGCAGAAACAGCATTCTAAACATTTTACCTTGGTGTTAACTATAAATTAGGTGGGGTTGGGTGGGGAACCTGCTCATGGTCACGTGACATGATGAAGGCTTCTGACTAGCTGGGGGGCAAGGAGTGAGCGGGAATCCCAAGAACAAGCTGCAGGATATCAGAGGAGGGAGGAAGGAGTGTGCCGCCTCCTCAGAAGACCCTGTGCCTCACGGGTATGCCAGACTAGTGAGGAGTTATCCAGGTGTACACAGCAGTTGTGTGGTGGGACTCGTACTCTGCCTTGCTGATGGGTCCAACATGAGGCAGGTACTGAGGACTTAACAAGGATTTCACTGTGACCTCGGCTTTAGTGACCTTCAGTTATCAGTCTGGTTTTTTGAGACTCTGTTCACAGAAGTTTGAGTTCTTGTTTTTCATGTTTGCTGTTGGCTCTCTGGTGTCACTGCCCTGATGTCTAGTAGCAACTCACTTACAGATGAAAGAACAAGGGTTTAAAACAGCAGTTCTGAACCTGGGGGTCTCAACACCTTTGGGAGTCGAATGACCCCTCATAGGGGTCACCTTAGGCCATCAGAAAACACAGATATCTACATTATGCCTCCTAAAAGTAGCAAAATTATAGCTATAAAGTAGCAATGAAAATACTTTTATGGTTGGGGGTCACCACAACACGAGGAGCTGGATTAGAGGGCTGCAGCATTAGGAAGGTTTGAGAACCACTGCCCTAGACTGTCATGATCCAGGTCAGTGGTGAAGACACCCTAACTGTCTAGAGAACTGAGAGATCAAGCTTCCTTCACTCACATTTGTTTTTTTTCATGGGTATATGCCTTGTGTTCTTAAAAATTATGTTTCTAACTGGCTGAAGAATAGCATAGCGTGTATTATCAGGGCTGGGGAACCTGGCCGGGTTTTGAGTGGCAGCCTACGGATACAGAGGAAAGAGTTGTGTTTGTTGCAGCCTGGCTGTTAGATGCCCCCTGTTCTCCAGAGGATAAATGCCAGTGGTTCACTTGTTTGCCCCTAGTCCTTTCCAGAGATGCTTCAGATGAGTCTAGAGGCCAGTGCTCTCCCTCTCCCCCACATCCTACTAGATGCTGTTTCTGAATGGATGCACCAGAGAAAGCTTTTCAGGACTCACATAGTGGAGGACCCAACTCTACCAGTAGTTGCTGTCACCAGCCTGCTTCAGTGTAGCTTCACTACAGCTGGTCTTCTGTGCTGTGAGCCCAGCCCTACCAATACCCTTTCCTCCTTATCTAATGTAAATTGATCATCTTACCTCTCCCAAAATATGTTGTGATTAAAATGTAGTATCACTGGAAATTTAAGGCTAGCCTTAAAACAGTTCATACCTGCCAGGCATTGGTGGCACACGCCTTTAATCCCAGCACTTGGGAGGCAGAGGCAGGCAGATTTCTGAGTTTGAGAGTTTGAGGCTAGCCTGGTCTACAGAGTGAGTTCCAGGACAGCCAGGACTACACAGAGAAACCCTGTCTCGAAAAACCAAAAAAAAAGAAAAAAAAAAAGAAAAAATAAAAAAAATGCAGTATCACGCTGGGCGGTGGTGGCGCACTCCTTTAATCCCAGCACTTGGGAGGCAGAGGCAGGCGGATTTCTGAGTTCGAGGCCAGCCTGGTCTACAGAGTGAGTTCCAGGACAGCCAGGGCTACACAGAGAAACCTTGTCTCGAAAAAACAAAACAAAAATAATAGTAATAAAATGTAGTATCACTTTATGGCTCGGACTTCAACAGTATGAATAGAACTTCCCATATAATAGGCAAAATGTAATCATCTCCCCAACCTCTATATATCTTACATTTCTTATTTCAAACAAACAAACAAACAAAACACCCACCCAGCAATAACAAAGACAATACAGAGCTCAGGATAGGCTGCTGTTCAGAGTGTGGGTACATGATTGCAGGTGACCACAGGTGAGAAAACCATCTGATCTTGGCACTGGAGTCACAGGTAGTTAGGAGCTACCCCGTATGGGTACTAGAAACCAAACTCGGTTTCTCTACAAGAGCAGCAAACGTTCTTATCTGCTGAGCCGTCCTTCACCCTGTTTCTATTATATTTATGCATGTTTTGTTCCCTTTGTGTTTTTAAGACAGGATCTCAACCGTGCATCGCAGGCTAGCCTTGAACTATGGAAATTTTCCCACCTCAGCTTTCCCAAATTCTGGGCATATAGGTGTGAGCTACCACACAACTTCCTTCTGTGTTTTAAGATGGAATCTGACTGTGCTGCCCAAGCTAGTCTCAAAATCCTGGGCCAGAGTGTTTCCTCCACTTTAGCTTCCCTGGTAATTGAGACCATGGCACATACTCCTGTGTCTGTCCATCTTTATGACTGGTGTAATATATCCTTTCTCTAATTCTTTGAGTGTTGCCTAGTCCTCCTTAGGCTGTCATTTATCTGTGTGGTCACAGGGGTGTGCACCATTGTCTGCATATCTATAACATGTTTTTATGTGTTTGCATTATAACCAAATTAGATTAGAAAACAGTGCAACCAGGAGTGTGCTTGTGATCTAAGACGTCTGAGGGGCTGGTGCACGAGGGGCTTGAGCTCAAGTCTGGCCTGGGCGATGTGCCAAGCCCTGTCTTTAATGAAAAGAAGGGGATGAAGAGGATAGGGTTAATTTCTGCTGAGTTCTCCAACACTTTGTACAAATCTTGTAGAGGGCTGTCATGTTTCTTGTAGCTGTTGATTTCTGCTAAGTGCTGCCGTGGCAGAGACTGTGACCCATCACTCTATAAACAGCTGGGTTCGGAATAAGTTCTGGTTGCAGCTACAGACTTGTTTAGCAAATAGGTATAAGTAGAATGAATGGCTGTGTGTGCCAGCATCAGAGTCCTTCCAAGACCTGGATGACGTAGGACTTGGCAGGAGCTGTCACATGCTTGGACGAAGCAAAAACCATTCTGCTGTTGGCATTTTCCTAAACAAGAGGTAGCAATAGCAGGTCCTGTACTAGAAGGCCAGTCATTTCCCTAGGTGTGGGTGTGAGGTGCTCGCTGGGTTCTCTGCTGATTTAAAGTCTTCCCTTCAACTTCTCTCTCTTTTTTTTTTTTCTTTTTTTATAAGTAAATCTCCTAACTGATAGGCAGGAGAGACTTTTTTTTTAGATGACATTTCAATTCTTTTTTTTTTTTTTAAGTTGTGTGTCTTTTTCTTCTTTATTTTTTAAGGTTTTTATTTATTATATGTAAGTACATTGTAGCTATCCTCAGACACTCCATAAGAGGGCATCAGATCTCATTACGGATGGCTGTGAGCCACCATGTGATTGCTGGGATTTGAACTCATGACCTTCAGAAGAGCCATCAGTGTTCTTAACCGCTGAGCCATCTTCCCAGCCCTTCCCTTCAACTTCTCTTTCTCTGCTTGTCATGTCATTCCAGAGTCCCCTGGAGTACCGAAGTATTTCCAGGCAGCCTGACTCATGATCATTTGCTGTCTTGCAGGCTGATTCACCCTAGCAGTGGCCGGTCCTACCATGAGGAGTTCAACCCTCCAAAGGAGCCCATGAAAGACGATGTGTGTAAACTCAGGAATGGTTGGCTTGGGTGGGGTTGGTTTTACTTAACCAGAAAATATCACTGTCTTGTAAATGAGGTGGCTGGTGACAGATCTGGTCAGTGTCTCCCAGGTGGCTTTATGCTTGTCCTCTGTCACAGCAGTCCCTTCCTGGCACCATGGCCATCTGAGCAGTTGGCTAGTCAGGAGTGTTTCCTCCAGAATGCCCTGCTCTTGGGGTATTTGGTGACTGCCGCCCTGGGTCTCATCCATAGTCCCTGTTCATTTGCTGTATGGAGTTTCATGGTCTCTTATAGAATATGCAGGCAACAGTGGCAAATGTCCTGGGCTTACCCTTTTCATGTGAGACAAGTTCAGATTGTCCAGGGTCTACAAATACAGGTTGCATTTCAAAAATTGACAAATCTACCAGAGTCCTTTCTCATCTCACTTGCAACTAATATTGGAGTTGCTTATATGCTGGGCCTTCCATCTTCTGACTCAAAGTGCTTGTCTTAGAAGTTGAGCAGCCTGAGCACACAACAGGGAGAGAGCTTGACTGCTTCTGGATCTCTGCTTCTGCCATAGCACAGTTCCTCATTAGAGAAACTCTAGATGGACTCTCTTGCCCTGAGTGGCCTTGGGAGCAATCAGGCAGCATCCCAGGCAGAGTGGCCACATCTCATGACAGTCCCTCCTGCTGTTCCTTGTTGTTCTTAGATCACTGGGGAGCCCCTGATCCGCAGGTCAGATGACAACGAGAAAGCCTTGAAGACCCGCCTGGAGGCATACCACACTCAGACCACTCCACTAGTGGAGTACTACAGGAAGCGGGGCATTCACCAAGCCATTGATGCATCCCAGACCCCTGACATCGTGTTTGCGAGCATCCTGGCAGCCTTCTCCAAAGCCACATGTAAAGACTTGGTCATGTTTATCTAATGTTGGGTCTAAAGGGTCTCTCTTCTTCCTCTCTGTGAAAGGAATGGGTGGTCATAGTTAGGTAGGTGGAGGGGACATCCTTTCTCAGACAGCAGGGTTATCTTCTAATGTACTGATTAAAAAGCACTTATTTGATGTGTCTTGTATGTGCTGTGCTCATCTGTGTGTGTGTGGTGTGAGTGTGTGCTCATCTGGTGTGTGTGGTAGAATGTGTGCTCGCTCTTACATTCTGAATCTTGTTTTACCAGCTGTTTACTTTTCTTTTTATTGTTTTTAAAAAAAATTAGCACACAGGGTATTAGATATTAGATATCATTATGACTTTTTTTTTTTTTCCTTGAGATGGTTTCTGTGTATCCCCATCTGTCCTGGAACTTGGTATATAGATGAGGCTAGCCTCAAGCTCCTAAGATCTGCCTGTCTCTGCCTCCTGAGTGCTGGCATTAAAGGCTTGCGCCACTATGTCTAGCTTCATTGTAACATTTTTTAAACAAGTTGTAATTTAGTAGACTTTCTTCCCGATCCAGCCCTATAATTCCCTGTCTTGTGTTGTTAGCTGCATCCTTCACACACACAATCTGTATTAGCCACACTCTTAATTCTATTTTTTGGCCAAAATAAACTGCACATTATTTATCTGCCAGGCACCCCAATTACAAAGCTTCATAGTACTTACCACAGGCAGCTGACTCCCAAGTCTAGGGTCACATGAAGTCAGGCCATGTCACAGTTCCTGATATACATTCTTGACAGGAAACAAAAAGCCACAAGGCAGTGGGTGCATAAGGATCATTAATTTTTTCCCCTTAAATGGAATTTAAAAGACATTACAGATTCCAGACACTGCTAGGACAGGACATCCACGTGGAGGAGTGACGTTGGACTGGTTTTCTGATCCACACCGGTGCTGTTCAGATCACACGGGACTTCCCTTTACACAGTGAGCTGTTGTCAAAGAATTGTGCCAGGTAGAAGGTCCTTTGGGGTTCAGATTGTCTCTGAATGTTGGACTAGGTAACAGAGAATGGCCATGTCTATTTCCCCAGACAGACCCAGTTAGGGAGGTTTGTTTTGTTTGCCTGTTTCAGGGGTGAACTAAACAGTGACTGGGGAAAATCTCTTTGGATTCATTCCCATCAGAAATATATTCACACACAAGATATAAAACCCAAATCAGATGCATCCCTTTCTAATTTAACCCTTCACCCCACATTTCATGATGGGTAGCACCACCCCAAAACAAGACCACCCATGAGCATTACAGGTTTCTATTTGTAACCTTAGCTCCCATAATTATGAGTGTCCTGTGGTCTTTGCTGTGCCTTTTGGTCTCTGGTTGCTTTGTGACAGATAAATTAGTGGGCTGCTGTGACAAGACCTCAAAGCCTTCAGCCTCTGAAAAAGCCATTAGAAAGTCAGTGCCGTGGCCAGTAAATAATGTGGCCTCCTCAGCATAGCCTTCTGCTGACTCTAAAGTGCTTGGTCCCCATCTGGCCTGAGCTCTCCTGCTGTCTGAATTTGTCAGAGGGCTTGTCTCCACATGGAAACTGTGGGTACGTGGGCCCTCTTGCTTCCCTTTTGGCCTCCAAATGTCTGCTGCCACTGGCCTGCCTTGTTTCCTTGGCTTTAAGCTAATTCTGTCTGCTCTTAACAGAAACCCAGTCTGGCTTTGTGTGCTTCTGGAAAGTACATGACTGCTGGGAATAGACAAGGGAGAGGAATGAAACCAAAACTATCATCTGGGCCTGCAGGAATATGCGCTCTTTCTCTGGAGGGGGTGGTTCTGTGCATCCTGCTGCTGACTTTTCCTGACCTAGAGCAGCTGTAGGCACAGGCCCCTGAGTGTTTGCTAATGAATGTGACTGACCTGTACACAGACCTTTGCTACCTGTCTATATACATACGTGTATATATACATGTGTGTGTGTGTATATATATATATACATATATATATTCATATATATATTCATATATATTCATATTCATGTATGCACACACACCAAATGCATGTGACATTTGGGCTTCAGGTAAGACCTGGAAAACCCTAGGGGTACATGATCACTGGTGGTGGTCTGGATAGTATTTTTGCTTTAATTTCAGAGTTGTAACCTCAGCGGGCATGAGAACTTTCAGAAGCCTGGCAGAGAAATGTCCAGGATTTGATGCATCTGGTTGCATGGCAGTCTTCCCTGATGTTTGTTTGTTTGTTTGTTTGTTTTAAAAAACCATTTTGTTCTTTCTTGTTTCCTTTCTATTTCAGCCTAGTAACAGAAGGCCAGGCGAGACCGCACCACTGCTCATCTCCCCGCCGTGTGATCCCTGCTCTTAGGTGCTGGGCAGAAGAAAAGAGGGTGGTCATGGGAAGGAAGGAAGGATGAATGGATGGTGAGGGAGGTGGGAGGGACTCAAGAGGAGATTTGGAACAGTGGCAGTGTTATAATTAGTAAGATTTTGTTTTTTACACATAGGTGAAAATTTTTAACGTGTAAGCAAGAGAAAAGATTAATTTTTTTAAAAACTGTGATTGGAGGGCTTTGGTGCAAATAAGGAGACATGGTATTATTTTTAAGCAATCAGCCTCGTTTCCTCTGGACCACAAAGCTAATGGTCTCTAAGAGACCTCAGCTTCTGCATAAGAACCTCACGGATCACTAGGCCAAGAACAGAGCAGTCAGACTGGGCCTGTGGATCCTGTGCAGAGGAGGGGGCTGCTGACTCATGGTGGCCCCCATTCCATAAAGTTAAAGACTCACCTGCGTGGATGGAAGAGACAGGGGCGTGAGCTCACGGATGCTGGTTCAGCAGATCATTTACTGGAATTGTGGGGAGCAAGGGAACACAGATCCCATACTTATGACTTCAAAGTTGCCTGCTCTGGTGACAAAGCCTTTAGCCACCCAGCACACACTAGTCTTACAACCTTGCCTTCATTCATCCGAATGAGGCCTAGGAATGTAGCTCAGTGGCATGTGTGTGTGCCTGGCGCTATATAGCCCTGGGTTCAGTCCTCTACAGTGAAGGGTTGGGACAAAAGCTAAAATGTCTTAAGCTAAGTCATCCAAAGATTGTCCTTCTCACCTTCAAATCCTGGGACTGGGATTGTCCAACAACACTGTGATGTATTTTTCAATGAGGTGCCTTTCATAACTGACCAAATGCTGCCATGTTTGGCTCCAGAGTCAATAAAATATGTTGAAAAATTTTATCCCTGTTGTGACGTTTTTTGAGGAATTCTGGACTACAAGAACAAAAAAAAAAATGATGTCTAACTCTGGACCTGTCTTTAAAGCTGCTTCTCATGATGATTAGCACTGTGTCCTGGGAAGTACACGTGTGCACTCCTAAGAGGAGCCTGCACCCTTTTGGCCATCAGCCGCTGTGGTGGATGACAGATCCAGATCCCAGTGGTTAGTCTGTCTCATCTGAAAAAAAGCCTTGGTGCTGCCTTACAGCCTTAAACAAAGTCTGTAAGAAACCAGCCCTTGGCTTAGTGCCTACCACAGCAGGCATCAGATAAACGTCAGGTCAGAACATACACAGACAAGTATCTGCTTCCTGCTGGGCTGGATAATTAGGAATGGACAGTTGTCTGTAGCCTGGCAAGCCTGTTCTTCAGCGCAAGTCACATCACTGGCCAGCTTCCAGGCTGCCGCTGTTCAGCACCCTTGGTTGCCTCTTTGTGCGTCCTGTTGGAAATCCATTTACTTTCCAGCAAGAGCGGGCTTAAGCTGTTGGTGTAGACGGAAGGTTTTTGCTCTTGGAAAGTTGCCTCTGCCAGTGAGGTTTCTGAGAAATTGCTGCTGTTCCCGAAACCAGGGTGAACTGGCTGGAAACGCCACTGTTCTTAAGGCATCTTGTGACTCTGGCATATGAAATTCTGTGCTCGCTGAGGCAACCCTTCCTTCTCCTCCCCCACCCCCCTTCCGAGCGCCCCACCTCTGGTGTGGCCTTAAGATGTCAACATGACTGCTTTGCTCAAATCTTTGCATTCTCTGGGCTGTATGAATGTCTGATTTTTTTTTGGGGGGGGGGCTTTTCTTGGTTGTCCTGTACAACTAAGAATGAAATGTCTGTCAGACCGACCTGGGAAATGGCACAGTGTGGCCAAGAAGGACAAACTGAGCAAAGTCTGAGCTATCAGTATGCGCTGCCTTTATCTTGGTTTCCTCTTTGCATCAGAAGTGATGAAGAAGGACTGACATTGAACCACATACCACACAGGCCTCATGCCCTACTCTATTCCTGTTATCCTCACTGAGGTGTTCTGCAGTGGAAACCAGCCTCCTGCTTTACAGGTAACAAGTTCACAAGTCAGGAAGTGGTCCTCTGTCTCACAAACAGGCACAGTCGGAGCTCTCTTCAGCACGGGTTTGTCCCTATGACATTGCTGAAATGATTGGTGATGCTTGCGGCTGTATGCCAAGAAGGTCCTCCCCAGCAAGAGTTCTTTCTCAGTCCCTGCCAGTTGTGAGGACCAGGGTATGTGCCACCTCTTAGGATCTCCTATGTGTAGTGACACCAGTACCAGAGCGGGACAAGGAGCAGCCTTAGCAGATGGCTTGGTGCATCACGACAATTCAGGAAGAACTCCTTCACCATGGGCAGTCTTTCTTCCCCTGGTGGAGAGTGGAATGATCCCTGTCATCAGGTGTGCTCACTACTCCTGCACTGGGTGCTCCTGTGGGTCAGTGTGCCTAGTGACGGAGTTCAGAGAGAGAAACATAGGCATTGGAGAATCTGTTGCCTTCCTGGGCATCGGGAGCTAGGCTGAAGGACTGTTCACCAGAAGCTCCCCTAGACATCATAAACCACGAAGATTGCATGCAGAGTTCTCTCTTTTTTTGTATTTTCTTAACCAATAGCTTAATGTATGTAGAATGTGTGCTGTGTGGGAGGGTCTGTGTGGATTGTCCTCAACCCTGCAAAGGTAAGTTCTATTACATCTCCATGGCGCCTTTGTGCACTTGGAGATTCATACATCTGGGAACAGTAAAACCAGAGCCAGTCTGTGGCTCCACACCCTCCTACCACTGTGCTAGTGGCTTCACTAAGGATAGGAAAGAAGTTCTCAAACACTCTTAGTTCAGAAACTTCTACAAGCCGTGAATGAGTCGAGGAATCCATTCAGGGATGCAATGCAATGGAGAAGGGCTGGGAGCCATGCTACCACAGGTAAGACCTGATCTCTGTTAGGGTTCTCTGTGGCTTCCTTACTGTTGGCCTGGAGCTCTGGCGAGTTGGGTTTGCAGAGCTCCTAAGACCACAGAGAGCCAGAGTGGCTGAGAGGAGTTGGTCTCTGTGCCTCTGGTTTTAGAAGGAGCAGCCCAGGAAGGTGTGTGCTGGCTCTGTCTCAGCTTTCCATCTCAGCCCAGCCCCCTCTGTCTGGTGGGGCTGTGTTATTCATTACCTCAGAGGAAGCTGCTGCTGGTGTCTCAGGCTGCCCTAGCAGTGTGTGATGCCAAACATCCCTGTGGGAGGGAGGCCCCTATAGGTGCCTACTCCTGGAGAAGTGCCCTGGCAGAGTAGGTGGGAATGAAGGCCCAGGCCAGGTCTAGATCCTGTGCAGATAACCGTCAGGTCTGAGGACAAACGGAACTGTTGTGAAGGCTCAGAAGCGGGAAAGCCTACTGTACGGTCTTTAGAGCAAGCTGCTTAGTGGCTCTCACGGGGAGCTCCTTCCCACGTGACCCCAGTCATCCAGCTATATAAAATCAGTATATACACATGAAACAACCTGGTATGGTGTGGCATGCCTACAATTTCTGCACTTGAGAAGCAGAGACAAGGAAAAATCATCCTCAGCTGTCAAGTTTGAGGCCAGCCTGAGGTACAGAAGATCTAACCTAAAAAGAATAAATAAAAGGTAAAGAAAAAGTCAGACATTTACTGAGAAGCCGTAAATATCTTAAAAACAGTTCTTCAGACTAAAGAGACTTCAGACAATATTGTGGAAGTTCTGAGGCTCTGAGCTTCACATCCAGTGCTCCTGCAAAAAGCTGGAAGGGGCGACATGCTCAGTGCTGGGCGGGGAAACATGCCACGTGATCTCAGTGCTGGGCGGGGCAACATGCCATGTGCTCTCAGTGCTGGGTGGGGCGATATACCACGTGATCTTAGTGCTGGGCGGGGCGATATGCATGCGATCTCAGTGCTGGGTGGGACGATATGCCATGTGATCTCAGTGCTGGGCAGTGGGACAGGCAGAGCTTTGGGGCTCATTAGCTAGCCTGCCTCGCTTAGTTGGTGAACCCTATGTCCCAGTGAGAGACAGTCTCACAAAGCGGGGCAGGGTAAGCTGGAGCCATGGCTTGGCTATCAAGCCTTCTGACAGCTCCCACTGCAGGTATCTCAGACTGCCTATAACTCCAACCCCAGGGTCTCTGGCACCCTCATGCACCTGCCCACACAGGCACAGTGTGCATACTTGAAAATCATTTTTTTAAAAAAGTACTACCGAGAAGCACCTGAGGCTGACCTTTAACCTCCACAAACATGCATGTCCTCACAACACAAATAAGAAATAAAATAAAATTTAAAACATAATTTTACCATTTATCACAGGCGAGTTCGTATACCCTTGAGGTAGATGTGCTTTTCCTGGGCTAAGAATCTTGGCTAGCTGGGCACTCGGGAGGCAGAGGCAGGCGGATCTCTGAGTTCGAGGCTAGCCTGGTCTACAGAGAGAGTTCCAGGACAGCCAGGGCTACATGATGAGATCCTGTTTAAATAAGTAAGTAAGTAAATAAATAGATAGATAGATCTTGGCTGAATATTTGATCCTGTGGGTCCTAGGGCATCTCCAGCATTTTAGAATTGACCAGTATTTTCATTTTTATAATTGTCAGTGCTGAAGTGTTGATGCCACATTGAATAACTATGGGATATGATGTGTTTAGGACCATTTCAGAGATTGCTGAGATTCTCCAGCATGGAGCTCTCAGCAAGCCTCAGTGAGGAGAGGCACTCACCAGCATCCCTTATAACCTGAGTTTGAACAACGGATCCCACAGGATGGCAGGAGAGAACCAGCTCTCACTGGTCCTCTGACAGCCCCACACGGACCTGCTCTCACACAAGGTAAATGTAAAGATGTTTAAAAGGAAACATCTTAGCACAACATAATCTAAAGGGAAACTAATTTGATACATGCCAAGGACCAAGGAATGACAACAAGAAAACATTGTCCTTTTTTTTTTTTTTTTTCTATAATCAAACCATTATGTTTCTGTAAGAGCAGGAAAATTATGCCGGGCAGTGGTGGTGCAAGCCTTTAATCCCAGCACTTGGGAGGCAGAGACAGGTGGATTTCTGAGTTCGAGGCCATCCTGGTCTACAGAGTGAATTCCAGGATAGCCAGGGCTATACAGAGAAACCCTGTCTCGAAGGAAAAAAAAAATTACATCTAGTAAAACACAGCCGTTTGTCACATACCATTGTCTGAAATCTGAGCTGATGTATGTTGGGCTGAGTCTCTTGGCTTTGTGGGTTATGCCAACATGCTCGGGGCATGTGTTCAAAACCAGTCTGCACTGAGAGGCGGTGCAGCACTGGCTCACGCTGCCCGAAACACCTGAGTCGGCAGCCTTGACATTCAGAAACCTCATCTTGCCACGCTCAGTTTTACGTGGCTCACAATTTAACACTGCTGTTCCTTTAAAGACTTGAGGCTTACAGCTAGGGAGTCTTCGTGCTCTTTGGCTCTGGTTCCCACTCTTCTAAGTAAGAAGTGCTTTGTTTTTTCTGTTTCCCTTTTTACCCTGCTTGTAAAGAAACTCAGGATAAAGTCTCTTTCTTATTCAGCTTTCTTCTGCCAGGGTTACTGCGCTCCAATCTTAAATGTGCGCTCAGCGGGTCAGGGGGAAATAAATGCCCTTAGTCCATTTTGGGAGAAAAGCCAAACAAAAAAGGAAAGGCTAACTGTGTGCTTCCGGAGGTAAGAGGCTCCATCCAGAAGAGCGGGAGATTCCAACAGAGGGCACAGCCCCAGGAAAAGTACAGGGATTCTCGGATCAAGTGTGCCAGTGCCTAGAGTTTTGGGGAAATCTGCCCCTGATTGGAATATGATTTTTCAAAGAAAACACAAGGAAATAAAAGAGGTTTTTCAGCTCATAAATAATGTAAAGAGCCCAGAAGAGCAGAAGATGAGGGTGTGTTTATGGGTGATGCTCCCGAGTTCGGGCCACACCCACTCTAACTCAGCCCACA